AGAGAGAGAGATTACAATTTTGTATCTCCGTAAAATTGAATATCAATAACATGATATATTTATGCACAAACACATAAAAATAAGGTTTTAAAAAATACATCATCTAAAATATTTACAATAAACTGAAACAATTACACTGTTGTTTTAAATAAATGGTTATTCTTGAGTAATTAATGAATTGATATAAAATTCAGCGGTAAAGAATAATTTGTTTGGATATCTAGTTCACATAACGCTAACGTAGAATGGCTAAATAAAAAAAAATTGGGGAAAACGACCACTCGTTAATTTAATTGCATTTTTTTCTAAAAAATGACCTTGTCAGTCGGTTTTAAACTATGATAGCAAGAAAAAGTGGAATTTGTTAAATTTAAATACGAATGTAAATTTGTCAGTTTTCTTTAAAAAATGCAATAAAAAACATTCGAAACTGAAAATAACTTTGCGATGAATGGCGACATAAATTAATTAACTTTTTTCTCAATTGATGTAGTTTGCCGCAAATAACAGGAAACCTTTAACAATATGCATCGCCTGGTAAAATAAATACGTTTAAATTTTCAACCACAGTAAACAGTTTTTTAGAAGTTATTTGGTAGGAAATTTTCTGTAATGTCGTTTTAAAAAGATCCTTCAACCTTTTTTATATTAGTTTTATAGAATTTTGAATTAGAACGGTACAACGTTGTGTGTTTTAAAATAAATTAACCGTTTCTTTTTTGATAACGTAAATCCATTTTCTAAGAAGATGAAAGAAAAATCTTTTGTCTTTCAATTACAGATTTGCCCAGTTCAGTTAGCATTCACTACGTCCAGTAACACATAAGCACTTCAATATTGGAAAGTTTCTGTATTAACACTAGGGAATAAGAATTTTTTACCTCCAGGAAGGTAAGTGTGTAATAACGTAATCAATTTTATAACGTAGGGTTACAAATATTACCTATAAAAACATCACATTAACGTCAGTTTTTAAATTACGTATGAAACCGTATTTTTGCCACTAATGCCAAAATAAATTAATTTGCCACTTGTAAAGTCATCGTAGAATTACATACGCATAAAATATACAATTAAATATAAAATTATTGTTTAGTTCATCTATACCACCTTACATCCGATAGTCAACAAATTACGATTTGTGTTTTTTTTTACCTCTGGCTTCCGAAATTGACGTCTTTATTTGCTTCGACCTGGTAAAGTGCGTGCTCAATTAGGAGGTCGTCTTAGTGGTTTTTAAGTAGGTGATTATATGCAAATGGTGGATTTGGTGTTTGAAAACAAGTTCAGTGCAACCTCATATTTCCTATCTGCCCATGAATCAAATGAAAAGGAATATTTTTAGCCCGTTTGCTTATCGGAAGTATATATAAAGTTCAATTGTTTGGGGTGGCAGATTCTGAGTCAGTCGGTGTCATGCGAAACTGAATCCGCAGTGCAGGTACAGTTCTTGAACTCGTACGCAATAAAACGAGTAAAATAAAACGAAAAACAAAAAAAATGGTCTAAAAATTTAGTTTCTACAAATTTATTTTGAAACGTTTTATCAAGAAACAGCAGACAATCATTAAGTGATTTTAATTAATGATGAGTAGTTAGATTGGATTACTTACTCTGGAGAGCCCACATCTTCTTGTTGTTGACGCCCTCCCACATGGCCGTGATGTGCTGCATGCACCTGAGGTTGTTGGGCAGGCTCCACTCGGGACGCGGGGCGCGGCGCCAGGGCAGGGGTGCCGCAGGGTCCAGCAGCGCGCCGGCCACCGCCTCCAGCACCGCCTCGCGGGGCGTGGGCTGCTCGGCGTCTGCAGCCGCCGCCACCATCACCGCCGCCGCCGTCATGGCCAGCGCCAGCGCCGCAGCCGCGGCCGGTCTCGCTCCGCGCGCAACCATGGCCTCGGGGAATGGCGTGTCGACGTGCGCGGCGCGCGCCGCCCGCGCCGTTTTATACCCGCGCCTATCGCCGAGGGTATCGCCGATCCGCGACAGATAGCACGGATTCGCGATAGCGCTGCCGGGCAGGTGTTTGCGGGCGGGAATCCCGTTCGAGTCCCGGTGATCGTTGACAAGGTCGGGACGGCGCACGTGAGTGAGACGACTGTTTGGTGTGGGAGGTACAGGTGATGGAGACGCATTAACTCTCGAAGCAGTTAAGAGCTCGGTCCGCTGTTCAGTTATTTAACGTGTAACTAACGTTGCGGTTATTTTTATTTTATTGAACGCACTGGAACCTAAAAAGCCTCAGGGTACAGCACACTTTCTCGAATAAATCGACCGGGTTCGGAGGCTCAAGGAATCACTGCAGTGTCTCTCACCGGGAGGTCCTAGGGTTCGAGTTCCGACGTTGGCAGGAGTTTTGTTACTAGGTAGATAGGTCGAATTCAGCTCCTGACAGGTGGGGAATTGTAGAGGCTGGTTGCTGTAATCGGTAGTTTTCCGTGATTTCTCAACAATCGGGCCACGGACAGCGCGCGATGTTTTCTTTCCTGTTCCTTGTCTTATCCTCACCCGTTACGCACACTTAGTGCACATGCACTACACTACCACACATGTGGAGGAACCGGTCGACAGCGTAGAGCTTGTTCCGGTTGAGGCTGTGCGCCGCTAGTCGGAGGTACTTTGTAGCGGAAAACTCGGCTAGCAGACTGTAGGTCGGCGCCAGATCTCGTCATCCAGTGAGCGACGAATCTCGGCAAAGTTTTGAAGGCCGGCAATGGATTGATTAGAGACTATCCACTTTGGTGAAAATTCAGTCTACAATTTAGGATCTAGTGTTGTTTATAAATGAGCAGACGGGTATTAAGAGAGAAAAACATGTTGTTCGATATCAAGAACCCTCAAAACGAATCTTTCTGTTGAAATATAGATACTTTTTCTCTACACAGAGTATAAAAAGGAAAGAATAACCTGACTGCAGTTCACAGATTGCCACTCTTTTTTTGCGAAAAGAGAGACTTAATCTCGGTTGGTTTTGCATTATATCTTAAATATTTATTAGTTCCATACTATTTTAGGTTCAGGGCAACCAAGAATGAATAGTCATAGCTCCTGAACCGACAACCAAGAACGCAAATTTCTGTGGTTTCTCAATCAAAGGTCCTGGTCTCTCTTCCTACAAAGTCTACACAAAACTGTAATAAAACCTACTTGAACCTCCGTCATACAATTATAGGGCTTCGACAGTGAATCAAACACGAAGATTGTTAGGAGATTGGAAACAAAGTTCTTAAGAAAAGTATGTCAAACACAGAGGTTCGTTACCAACAAAACAATTTATAAATATATAAACATCTCATCTATTGCGTAAGTCATCGGAAAAAGATGCCATGGGAATCTGAAGGAATGAAGAAAAAACATTTTCAGTCTTTGGTTGCAGCCTCACACCGAATTTAAGGCGGCTGACGCTTAGATTGACGAGCCAGAAGTTTGCCGCTTCTTATAAGTATGTTTCTGTTTCAGTCCCGAGCGTGGCGTTCAGAAGCGTGAAAATATAAAAGAACCGTGTTCTACTTACAACAAACAAAAGAAATCTGGCTAAACGACCGACAAATGAGTCTTGCATTAATCAGGTTCAACATTCGTTCGGCCCGCTATAATAGCATCCCACATGTGTTCGATTGAAACTTGATAAAGAAATTTCGTCGAAGTGGCGAATATAGAAGTTCAGATAAATTGATAACGCTGTGAAACTATACGGTGTCAAGATAAAATGTTCCAAATCTCATTTTGCGAGTAGGTCAATGGACTTATTTCGCGGGCAATGAAAAAATAGAGATAGAATAAATACGTTGCTAAATAGCTCGTAAACGATTGACTCTATAAACAATAGGAATTGATATCACATTTCAATATTTAGGAGAAATAGTCAAAAATTAATTGTAAGGCTCGGGGAGGTAACAAGATAAGTCACACCAGCAATTGCAAGCCTCCATCAATTCATAAATGTTAATATTTTAGTCGGAGTGTGCCCAGACTTATTACTGCCCCAAGTCTACACCAGGAAAGTCTCTCTGCACTGAGCTAAAGATGTGCCTCATTTTAGAAACTCCATTTATGTTTGTAGCAATCAGATCACTGGGAAGCAAGTCAAGGAGGCAACACTTGCAGCATCTATTATGATTGTGGTGAGTTCGTTATTTACGTTTTGACGCTGTAAATCGTTCTACCAACATAATTTCTGTTGTAAGTACTTTCACCACCAAGGTGCCTGTCCGTATGAGCTATACTAGAGTAACAATCCGAACTAGACATTCATCAAAATCGAAATATTAACATGTAAATAGCGGGAGTTTTGTTGTCTTTCATGTAGCCTATCTAGTCACTGCCGCAAAACCTTCAATTAAACATTGGTCAATATAATAGAGGAAAAAAGAATATTCTATGTGCATCCTTAAAAAATTAGCTTATAGTGCATTATGAATACATTAGACCTTTCAAATATCATTTTTTCTAATGAAGAAATCAGACGTCTAAAAATCATGCTTAGCATGTATATTACGTCAGAAAAAATGACATACATATTAATTACAATGATACAATCAGAACTGTTCACAATTACCTGATATAAGGAAAAAAACATTTTGTATTTCATGAACATTATTGTTCGCACTCTCTGTAATCCACTATTGTAATTTATTGATTTCCTTACATCTTCAAAATTATAAACTTGATCATCTGTCGATTGTGATGATTGTAGGTAATAGGTAAATAAATGCCGTCATCTGTATATTCATTAATTTTATAATGCACAGTTAACAATATTACTGTATTTTACTTTGAATTCTCGGCTGTCCGGCACGTACACATCTGTATTTTACTTTTTTAAATGGACAATATCAATTCATTTACAATTTTTTTAAAATAAAAAAAATATTATTTTTCTCACGACATAAGTAAAAAGAACTTAAAATGTTTAAAAACTGTATATAACATTAAAATATAAAACGGAATCCTTATTTGAAATGGGGTACCCCATTGTTCTTCTAACACAAATAGAAGATCTGCTCTCGTTTGGAATGATGCGGGCGAGGGCGAGGGATTTCACACCTCGCCCTCGCCCGCTTGAAAATTTAGCTCCAACCTCTTTTATACATTAACCAACCGTCCTAAACCTCACAAATGTGAGTCTGTCTCCGTCTGTCTCTTCATAGAGTATGTGGCTCAGAGAGATGTGTCGCTTGCGTTTCGTGCGCTGCAATCACTCGCAAATCAGAGAGCTCTAGAAGAAGTTCCATTCACAAGTGTAGAAGAACTCGGAAACATGCACTCCGGTGCCGGGACCCAACTTCTTTCCTCCTCCTTTTACCACATCCTGTCCACTCCTGGATTTCTGGAAGACACAGACGTTGGCTCGCGTAGACCTCCCCCTCCGAACTATATACCCGGTCCTTATGTTCTAGCAGGGGGAATTCCCCCCAGGGTGGGCACCTGGGCGTTAGCCTTTATCGTCATCCACCGCAGGAGTAGAAGTATGGGCTGGTGTCTGGATTCTGCCATTACGTAGTTGACCCTCACGGTAACCTCCCCATAATGCCTGGGTCTGCCAGCCCGAAGCTGTTGGCTTTCTAGGCCAGTTTCGGAGTCGAAACAATGCGCCACTCACCCTTTGAACTCGTAGGAAGGCGTTGCGAGCTTGACAGAGATCCCCACACCTCACATGAACTGCTCAAGAGCTTTGTATGAGCCAGACAGTTCGCTGATGGTTCGGGTTCCAACTTAGAAAGAGCTCACGTGGCGAAAGATGCCGGATGGATCTTGTGAGCTAAGAAAGTTGTCATTTCGGACGAGGTTTTACTCTTCTTTAATACTCTTAAAGTAATATTTCGGTTCTACTATTTAGAAACCGAAGAATTGAGAAATTTTCAAAAAATGTACTTTGGGCGGAGATAGATGACAGCTGGCTTGAGTATGTGGCAAGTCCAATTAACTAACCAAGACCAAAGAAAATAGAAAACTAATACGAATGAGGCGGTGCTACAGCACTCCTAGTTATACATTAATAATTTTTATTTATATTTTACCTTTTACCCTTATTTACCTTTTTCTTCAACTGTTTATTAATATGTCCCTATACTAAGCAAATGTCCTTTCGGGTTACGAATGTTACCAGCTGTTTCCTGTGGCTGCCTTAGGGTTTGACCTCACATGGAACACATGGCTGCTGAATGTCGACTATGATCGACCGTTATGCAGCATCCACCATTTCCACCTCCACCATCACCATCACCACCATCACCACCGCCACCACCACCATCACCGTCACCGTCACCGTCAACGCCACCACCACCACCAATCACCGCCACCGCAAACCGCACCGCCACCGCCACCCCCGCACACCATCCATGGTCCCCGACCCCGACCACGTCCCCGTCGCCGTCCCTGGTCCCTGTCCCCTGGTCCCGTCCCCGTCCCGTCCCGTCTCGTCCCGTCTCTCTCCGTCTCCGTCTCCGGTCCCCGCCCGTCCCCGTCCCGTCCCTCTCGTCCTCGTCCCCGTCCGTCCCGCGTCCCCGACCCGCCCGTCCCGTCCCGTCCCGTACCCCGTCCCGCCCGTCCCCGTCCCCGTCCCCGTCTCCGTTCTCCATCTCCGCGCCCGTCCCCGTCCCCGACCCGTCCCCGTACCCCGTCCCGTCCCTCGTCCCCGTCCCGTCCCCGGTCCCGTCCCCGACCCCGTCCCTCGTCCCGTCCACGTCCCGTCTTCCGTTCCATCCCGACCCGTCCCGTCCCCGTCCCCGTCCCGCTGTCCGGTCTTCCGTCCGCCGACCCGTCCCCTCCGTCCCGTCGTCCCGCTGCCCGTCCCGGTCCGGCCGTCCGTCGTCCGGTCCGTCTCGGTCCCGACGTCCGTCCCTCCCGTCCGCCCCGTCCCGTCCGTCTCCGTCTCCGTCCCGCGACCCGTCCCCGTCCCGGTCCGGTCCCCGTCCCCGTCCCGGTCCGGTCCCCGTCCCCGACCCCATTCCCGATCCCGTCTCCGTTTCCGTTCCGTTTCCGTCCCCGTCATCGTCACTACCATCAATGCCACCGTCACTACCATCACCGTCACCACCGCTCACCCCCGACATTTACAGCTTGGCATAGGCTTCCATTCGATTTCTCGTCTCTAGCGAGCAAGGGCGCCTCCGCCAACGATTCTCCTACTTTTCTTAAGGGTCTGACCTCAGATGGAATTCGCT